AAAACCGAAAGTTTCTGTGATGACTGCCTTTGCACTGTTCACCATGTAAGAACTTAATCACTATGTAAGAATTTGTTCACCATGTAAGAACTTGTTCGTTATGCTTCAGAAGATTGGAGACTGTTGAGAACTAGGCTTGGGGTTGATTAATGATTGTGCATTGAGTCCCCTATACAGAATTTTATTGTTGTTAACAACCATTTGATCAATAAATATGAGAGATGCCCTCTCAAAAAAAACCAACTCTTTGAAGATTAATCTTTAGGTGGTAATAAGATTTCCCCTGAAATGAAAAATACTAGACCTAATGCTTCAGAAGTATTGTGGAAATACCTGAATTGTAGTACTTGAATTACAAAAACAAAACAACATTAGCAAGAGAGGTGCAAGGATGCAATTTTTAAAAATAAGAAAAACAGAAGTGTACTAATTAGGGAAGTACTTCATGTTGTATAGCTTACCTAGCTCCAACTATTTAGGGGAATAAAGAGAACATTAAAGGAAACCTCAGATCCAAAATATCGCCAACATACAATCAAATGTCATGGCCATAAAAATAAGGTCTATATATAATGTTCATTTTGTTGTAATGAACATTAAAATAAGTACAAATACCCAGCAATGCCAAGTAAATATCCCTTCTTTTTCAATAAGGTGTAGTTATACTATACTATTCAGTGAACGGACTGTTGAAAGAAAATAGTACTACCTTAAATAAATGGAGGTTAAGTGAGACAGACAGGAGCAAAGTGCCTCTTTCTGAAGTTCAGCATCTAACTGCTTGCTTGGCCCATCTCTATCTACCTTGGGCCCAAACATACCATGTTCTTTTGCCTTTATGCTCCAAGCTCATGATTATGTTTGCTCTTTCTGCCTGGAATGTTTTTTGCTGATGCTCAAAAAGTTTAACTTTATACAGATGTCTCTAATAGCATTTTTCATTAAAACTAAATATTAACATATAATTTTGGCTTATAGACATTGCACTCCCCTATTAGTAGGTGTTTTAAAAACCAGTAAATGCTTAAGCTCTTGGGTATTCTTTTCCTCTTCTGTGAATTTTTAGGGCTTGGGTAAAGGAAATAACAGTAGAAGTTGAAGAAAGATATACTAAAGCTATCATGCTTAGAAAGGCAACTGGAAATGCTGTTGGGTTAATATTACTTCCCTCAAAATTGCTGGAAGCTGGAATTGCTTAAAATGAACAATGATATTTAATTAATAGTTATATACACTGGTAGCTAAAATCCTTGGATTTTTTTGCCACCTATGTGATCTGATCATTCATAGTACCAAATGTCTAGCAGTACAGCTTAGATACACACAACCCTGAGACTTTCTGTATAACAGGCAAATAGATGAGAGATGGCTAAGGCCTGTTAGATCAACCCACCACTTCAATGTGGTTCAAAGGTCGTAATTTAGAACTATGTCTTATTGTTCTACTTTCTTTTAAAATTAAACAACCTTCAATGTAGTTTTATCACAAACCTAATAGTTGACAAATCTTACTGACGAAATTATAGATAACAAATGACATAAAAATACTCAAATTTGAAGGAGGCTGATATTAAGGCTTCTTTGTACTTGTTACCAAGAAAATGAGTAAAATTGAATTTGAGAGTACAAATCACCTACCTTATTACATTCAACGTTATTCTCCAACCCCTATCCCTATGTCAAGGACAACATAGCTAACACTAAGATAGTCAATGAAGATTTACTGAATGACAAAATAGCTTTTAATGCACCATTTTAAAAGAATTCATGGAGTCACTGAGATCAGCTATTTTGTAAGGACTAGCTATTTTCACATTTTAAAACAAAGTAATAGTTGAATGCTAAGTCAATAAAGGACTATTTTTTAATACTAAGGGTACAGATCAAAACAGGAGTGCTTTCTAAATTCATAAAACGAAATTGGTAAGACATTCACAGATATCATTCTCTGGGCAGATTAATCAAAGAAAATTCCTAAAAGTTTGAGTAAAACTAACTATGGACATTTTTGTTTTATAGCATAGTTGTCACAGAAGCTAAGAAAAACACTTATGATTTTATAACCCAGGCGATGTTTCTAAGAATTTATCTATATCACTTTGTTCTCGTATAACACAAAGAGAGCAGAGTAAAACACTATTCAACTATGTATTTTCATTGTTGAGTATCACACCCCTGTTTGATAGGTGAGTGACTAGCCTCTTAAACTGCTGGTTTCCCATGGAAATCTGGTTCACCGACTGCTAAAACAGTTAGCAAGCTGGGGAAGTTTACTGTGTACCACCGTCAGGTGTCAATAGCTCAAGCTTCATGAATCATGTCTAGACCACAGCCATTTGAGAAGTTTATTTCTAGTTCTGATTTACATATCCAAAAAATTGCTGCCAATAGCCATAAAAGAAAACACGCACCAAAACAAGTAAGGAAACTACATTCTGGTACCATGGTGCCCTTAACGGTGCACCAATATAGTCTTTATTTACCTTTCCTTCCAAGTTCAGCTGCTGCATTTCTTGGTCACTATTTCCTATTCCAATAAATGCACATGGTTGAGACTCTTGTTCAGAACAACCATCTCGTTCCATTTGTTCTTTTTTTTTCTTCCATCCACTGCCCATAAGATACACACAAGGAGGAGGGCAAAAAAACCTGAAACAATTGGGATGGGGGGTGTATCCGAAAAAAACAAAAATGAACAATGCAATTAGATTCAAGAAAGCATTTCCTTTTCTTGAACCTATGAATATAAAATCATACTGAACTCCATTAAGTTAGTTCAAAGGAAATATTTGGGTGAAGCCTTTTGTAATGCATATAAATCATACCCACAGCACAGAAATCAAACCTTCCACAAAGAAAGTATTTGTTCAGGTAAGGTTCACCTATATTGAAGCTATGCATTCAATTACACTAGTCACATTTTATAGAAGGGAACCTCCCTTTAAATTTTCATGTAGCTCAGAGTTCTGAACTAGTGGGAGTTCAACAAATCCAATGTACTCTAACATGTTACCGAACATGATATACTACTACCACAGAATCTGCAATTACTGATTAAGGTATACTCAAAATGATGTATTATTAATGAGTTTACTGTTATGACTATTACACTTAACTGTATCTGGTAATTAACCTGGAAAACAGAATTAGGGCAATGCCCATTGTAGAAACTTTCAAAATATTAATGAAACTAAGTAGAAAAACTAAAAGAATGTATCGCTGTGCTTTTAGTTATCTTGCACCCTAAACCCCTGGTGAATGTGTATGACTGAAAGAATACACTGTATGTATCCTTTCAACTCACAGACTACCAAAAGGTTTCTTTTGCTAGTTGCCAAAAACCGGCACTCACAAATTCTTTCTACTTAGAATAGAGTTCTTATAATTTTCTCTAAGCAATTAAAAAGTATCTATTTCAAAGCCTAGCTCAAGCCCCATATTTTACATAGTTCAGACCATCAATCTATAAAATCTTTACACTATGTCTCATCAAGGGGCCTGAAAACTCAAATACCTACTCATATAGTAGCTAAATAAACTCATATAGTACCCAGGTAAGTAATATAATTGAATGAACCAGGTATAGAACAAATAAGAAGGAATATTTAATTATCCAAAGAAGTAGGTTCCTTCTCTTCTTTCTTGAAATGTACAGCCCTCATGATAATTCCTACTTTTTGTTTAGTCATGAGTATAGGAAAAATTTTCTTAATTCCTTTAAGCACACTGTAAGAAAAAGGAGCTTAAATAGCATGCTAATCAGCCACTGGTGTGTGCCTCTGATGATAAGGAAACAAAGGGGAATGGCAAGCCTATGCATACACACCCACTCACTCACTTTGACAACTACAATCGTGTAGGCCTAGGGTCAGTCCACATCCTCTTATCATTCCACAGATGCATGAAATTAAATTTTAGATGAAATTCCTAATTTTAAAATTTGGCAACCAATTTATGCACTTCAACACTTTGTAGGCCAACAATGTGCAGACTTAAATAGAAACTGTACACACTTACACTACCAGGCTGGATTTGGCTCTCAGGTTTGCCCAAAGATAGTGTCTACTTCCTGTATGCTTCCCCCTCTGCACCTACTATAATATTGATTAAACAGAATCAAAATATATGACAGCACTTCTTTTTCTTCAATTCTAACTGAAGATACTTTAGAGGGAATTTACATTAATTTACAAGAAGTGAAATGGGTTTATTTAATATTCATTAATTTAACAAATTATTTACTATATCTCTAGTCTATACCAGGCACTGGAAATACAGGAGCAATTAAAAAAAAATAAAGGACAAAAATTCCTGATCTGATGGAACTCATACTCCAATAGGAGACAAAGACAATTAAAAATAGTAAAATAACATATATCCTATTAGCTGGTGATAAGTCCTGAGATAAAAAAAATAGAGCAGGGAAGGAGGTATTTATAATGAAGAAGATCCAGGTGGCCAGGGAAAGCTCCCTAAAGCCCTGGGTATCTGGGGAAGAGCATTGCAGCAGAGGGAAGAGCAGGTACAAAGGCTCCAAAGTAGGAAGGCCTACAACAGTCAGCAGGGAAACAACAAACCAGTGTGGCCAAGTAGAGGAGGAAGACAGAACACTAGGAGATGAAGAGGTAATGGGCAAGTAGACCAAGCAGGCCCTACAGTTCAAGCTGAGAAGCCTCTGGAGTCTTCTGTTTATCTAAACCAATGGAAAGGAATCAGAGCAGCTTTCACTGTGGCCATGGACATAGAGGTCACAGCCGAGGTAGTGGGACCAGCTCCAGAGCACTACAAATTTGGAGGGATGCCTGGATTGGGAGGGCCAGTTCTGGAGTTGGCTCTATTCCATTCTACACCAGGGATCTTTCTGGCCTCTAATGCTGGGAGCCACCCAATGCTTACCATGGCACAGACTCAAATACCTAAGCTGGCACTCTATCAGGAGGTTGAGAAGGCATCAATTTTGGAAACTTGTCTCCCATTAGAGTTTATTGAATAGTGATGTTAAGACTATAGCAAATTGGTATACTAGCTATAAAATTTTAAGAGCTATGCTTTATTGTAGTACACCAATTGTAGTAATCAAATCTCAACAAGTTATTATAAAAGATATTTTTACTTCACATCTGAAAAAAACACAAAGAGGACTAAAACTATAAAAACTGAGCAGAGCAGATTTTCTCAAGAGTACTATGATAAAATGGCACGAAACTAGCACGGTATAAAATTAGACAGGTTGGCAAGAAATTCTTTATCATTCAAAACACTGACAAAGGTTTCATATTCAAAATGTACTTCAATCATCTATTAAGTAAGAAAAGTAACTCAACTGCTTCTGAGCCAGCCTTGTTTTTTTTTTTTTACTAACTTTTAATTCAAAAAAGTTGTGATGTGAGAAAACAGCAAATTTAATATAATCTGACATTTAGATTATTTCCACTGATGATGAAATCATATTTTAAATACACCGATACTATCACCCCCTACAAAACTGCTAATGAGTCAAATTTTCATTTCCACAGATTTCAGTGGTAATATAATTAAAGACTACATACAAAAAAAGTAAGCATATAGACATAAGAAAGGAAAGTAAATGGAGTAGGGATAAGAAAAAAAAGGCCACCTAATTAACAAAAGTTAAAATACATTTTTATAATGGTGTGTGAAATCAATGATTTTTTTTCAATTTGGACATTTGGTAAATACATACCACTCAGTGCCCAGTTTATAGAATTTAAGTTGCTATAAAAGGATGTGCTATGAAACAATGTTCCTTTATTTTCTAATCTTTCCCAGCAACTACATCTAAGCAACTATGAGAGACAATACTTTTTTTCTGCCACTTGGTGGCAATATGCACATATTTATGATTTTAATCATTTCCAGTTCAGTCTTTATTCTCAGAGAATGATTCAACAACTTTTTCCTCAAATCATGAGATGAAGTCTAGAAAATACATTACAGATTCAAAGAAGCCTCTATAGTCAGCCCAATATATAAGTTATTTTAGACAAAACCCAAACACATCATTTTATCTAACTTCAGTATCATTACTCTGATGATTATTCAATTCAAAAGCAGTAAATTGGGAATTTTTTGCACACCACAATTACCTCAATTAACACACATTCTCAGTATGATGCCAGAATCATAGTCTAATTGTCTAAATGGCATTGCTAACACCTTCAATACTGCTTAAAATTACCTCCCTTACAACGTTGAAGGAAAGATAGTATGTCAAATGGAATTTTTATATATTTAATTGAAATTTTCCTCCAGACAAAGATAATCTTTTTAAAAGTTTATTTTTAATCTGGAAAGATCTTCTTTAATGAAAAACTAACCACTAACATAAATGGGATACAGGGGATGTGCTAATAAGCAAATAAATATTCATTATTGGGCATAAAAGTTAGTATAAAGAAAATTTTAAATTATAGGATAAAATTTCCTGACCAAGTATTTGTCACATCATTCACTGGAGTTATTTTACATGCCGAGAGAACTGTGGTCATGTCCCCAGGTTACCTCACGCCTTATGCCTTAGCAGCTTTTCAGAAAGGCCTGAATCTGGATCATGAAAGAAGGCATACCTTCCTCTTTCTCCTACGCACTCCACTAATGAGTAAGGGACAGACCCCTTCAAAGAAGCCGCACTAGCCCTCTAGGAGGCTGGTCTGTACTGAACAGTCCCTTACTACTAATACTTTTTAAAAATTTAGTAATCTTAACAGGTTTCTACCTTTATTGTAAAACAATTCATGTCTCTCTAGAAATTTTAATAACATAAATTTGTAAAAATACAGAAAAATAGTTACTCTGGCCTTTTCATCATTTTTTCTTCATTCTTTGGAGGCTTAGATTCTTCAAACTTTTTTCTGACTGGTATTTTAGATGGTCCAAGTCATATCCAAATAATAGAAAGAAATTGGAGAAAAATGCAACCACAGTAAAAGATAACCATTAAATCACCCTTTAACTTGATAAACCACAATAGCTTTGTACTCATGTATTTTTAACAGTGACAAACTGGAACCTTATCTGGACTTGGATGTAGTTTTTTGAGTAGCTCTGCCCTGTTATCCTCACTGGGTCTCACACCACAGTATGAAGTGATACAGTAACTTTTCGACTACCAGTAAAATCCTTTCCTATAATACCTGGCACCTAAGAGGTCATCAGAAATAAAGCATGAATTCAATTGTACTAAAATCCATCTTCAGAAATCCAGAGAAGGAAAAGCAACACTGCCCAGGTTGGCGGTGATCCAGTGACTCCATGTAAATTCACACTGCCTTCAGATCAAGCCTGGTCTTACTCAGCCAATGTAAAAGGGATAATCCCAGGCAAAGTTACGTTGACAAAGTTTGTGTTCTTTACCTCCTCTGTCTTCGAGGCCAGCTATTGATGACCAAACACTCAAATACACCAAACAAAAATGGAAGGCTACAAGAATAAGGGCAAGAAAGAGAGTAAGAAAATTGAATTACAGGCTAGGAGTTCTGAACTTGACTTCATCGATTCCTAACTAAAGTGAACCTGGGCATGTTTAAAGTTTTTTATCTTTATTTCTTTACTCACAGAATGGATTTTATAACATGTCTCCTTTAGGATTAACTTTTTATAACATATGCAAGGCATCTGCAGAACAATGTCTGGCTTATTATTGGGACTGAATAAAGGGAAACTTCTTCAAATTCATTTTGAGATACAAGGCTGGCTTTTAGACTCATCTCAAGTAATGAGGGTGTTGACTTGCTGTGTTTTGCTTAGAAAAGATGGATGATCTGCTGCATCTGCTATGTACATCCAGTCAATTTCATTATTGAAAAAACAAAACAAAACTGAATTTCCAGTATCAACTTCATGAAAAAAGAGGCACTATCTTGATTTAGTTTATGTGTCTCAAACTATAGATATCTTCTTCCCATATTCACCTCTGAATTAGATGATTTCTATTAATAAAGTAAAATAATTAGAAATTTGATAAACTTGAAAGACAATCAAAAAGAATACTTGGCTGTATGAGTCCTAAATATTGTTTTCACTTGTTCATCCTCTTTGAGGATAAAATTATTAAAGAGCTTCATCTTCTATTCAGCTCAGATTTAGAGGACTTTGAGAAAGAGAGTTCTTACTTTCCTTCTACATGCAAATTAATTTAGTTATATACCCAAATTTTCCTTCTCTTATCCACACACTATGTTTCCTTTATCTCACAAACTCTAAGATTCTACTAATTCCTTCCAACCCAACACTGAAACCTGAGTTTTCATTCCTTTTCCTACTTCAGTTTAGTACACCTTACTAGCTAATTCCAATCATGTTTCATCTTCCCCTAGAAACAGCCTTTGTCCATGAAATGCTTAACTCAAAAATGTGGTTTGAAAGATAAAGACTAGAGAAACTATAAGCAATAAAATTCCAGGAATCAAGTGAAAAAAACAAACAACAGAAGTCCATAATTATATACCAAAAATGCTGAAATTTCTAAGATCCTGTGACAAATACTAAAGCTCACTTTGCTGTAATTTCACTGCGGTTAATCTGATTTACAGGTTACTTCTGTCCTGTCCACACTGATGTAGGATGAGAGTACTCACTCAGTTTTGCTGTTTTTTCTAAATCTGAATAAGCACGGAGTCAAAGTAGAGAAGGCTTGGAGCTCTTTTCTTTATAGTCATTAATTCAGGGGACTGTTTAGCCTTTTCCTTTTTAAAATGGTACTTCTGGGTTCACATTTGTTTATAAAAATACATTTTCCACCAAAAGGAAAGCTACTTTTTGAAGAGCTAAAATATCACACTTGGGGAGTAAGACGCAGCCCAAACTAAAAATTGTGGATTATTTTATTTTGTGAAATTAGTAATTTAGCCAGACAACCTTTACTATATACACCACAATTCATCTTGTTTCTCCCCTTCAATAAAGGCAAATCCCATTTTTCGTTTTGTACTTGCAAATTAATTCAGAACAAAAACCATCCTCTTCTTGCACAAATACAATCATTTGAAATTCATGATAGCTACAAACACTACCAGAAAAACAATAATCTTACCTTTTTTCATTTCCATATGATTTCTGTGCAACTTTTGCATGCAGGATAAGTACTGTTTGATCCCCTCGCTCTTTTAAATAATTTCTCATAGCTTCCCTAAAATAAATTATAGATATTATATTATTATGTGGTGAGACCTAGAATATCCCTAAGCTGTGTAATGAGAAAAACACTTCATCTTTTTTAAAAAAGCAAATATAAAATGAAAATAAAGCAAAACAAACTCATGAACTAAATTTAAAGAATATTATACAATGAGGCAATAAATATAGCTCATCTTCAACTCTGTCCTTCCAAAGAAGAAACTGTCCTCATTCTTGGAATTAATGATATAGCTCAATTAAACCACAATTACAACTTCTAAAACAACCAAAATTACTATGCACATTGCTAAGTTGTTCTTTAACTATCAAATTAATGGTTTGCAGTACTTTTGTATTTCATAACCTAATTCACTACCACCACCAGGTCCCTGTCACCCAGGTATTAGGATGAATGTTTTCTACTGATAATGCCAAACAAATAACCGCATCATACAAATTTATTATTACACGTTGCTAAAATATCAACCTTACATGAGGACTAAGAAAGGGCTATCATTCATATACAAATAATTACCCTAAAGGATGTTACCAAATACATAACAAAATTTAATAAAGACTTATTTCAAATTAGTAAAAAAACTAAATTAGATTTTGGAAAAAAAAATAATGTTAATTCTTTCAAGTACAAACTACTTCAACTACCTATTTATTATACAAATGCTCTATAAAAAGTTCAATGTCTTAAATATATTCATTCAATTATTTTGCTAAGCAATACTAGAAAGAACACGAGGTCTATCTATACAGATCACACTTTCGTAATTCTGCATCTACAAAACCCAATTCTAGAGGTGTTTTATGCATTATAAAATTAAAGCAAAGGTGCTTCAAAGAATCATCACAAAGCACTTTTAATAAATGCTATTTTACATTATAGATATAAGACAAATGTGCAAGAGGATAGCCATATAATAGGAGTAAGTTATTAAATGTGGGGAATTCTAGACTTGCAGCACTTAAAAAGTAAGTAGTCTGGTACATATCATTTAACCTCATTCAGCATTGATTTCCATATCTGATTATAACATTATAATGCTGACCTAACACAGAGTGGCTGTGAGGATTAAATGAAATAATCCAGATGACAGCCTTACTGACTGAAAGAAAACCTAGCTACAAGGCAAGGAAGGGAACACTGGGATCCAACAAATTTTCTAAAAAAGATGTAAACAGACATTAATTTAACCTAAATCAATAAAAAACAATGGATGGATCTCATCACAAAATAAAGGGGATAAATCATAAACAGGCAGAGTAAACAGCAACTGCAGCTATAATCCAGAGTAGACAAGGAGAATACATTGTTTTAAATTTCTTATCAGGCACTGGTAAAATGCTTTTCAAAATTGCATGCTATGGCTAGAAAGGAGATTAAAAAAAAAATAGGGGCTTACTTAAAGTCAACAGAATCCCAAAATTAATACACAAATACTTACAAAATAAATATAACCAATGGTGAAGTAGAAAACATATGGAGGCTAATTCTTAACTGGCATCTTAGGGTGTCATTAATTACTCTGGAGCAACCTCCAAAACAATACAAGAAAGAGCTTCAAGATACTGTGTTTTTTCATTCTGACCAGGGCAGTAAATGGAGCTTCAAATAAAAGTGCTACTCCAAGTGATAGAGGAAAGGTAACATAAAACAGTTCCAACAATTATAGGAAACCTTACAGAAATGAACCTAATGAAGAAAATCCACTGATACTAAAGAATTTAAGGAAAAGCGTAAAAGCACAAGTTAGCAGATACCCATTTGAAGTATTGTAGAGGGCAAGAAAGTTAGGACCACAGGGCTCTGAAGGTTGCTTATAATACAAGCCTTCAAGACTCCAGTTCTAAGGTTTTGATTATTAACAACAGGGTAAATACAATGAGGTACAATGTGTTATTGTAGTACAATGTATTGTAGTGCAACAGGGTTTTACGTTGAGTGGCACCCATGTTTTGTAAGGCATGTGTTACATCCTGCTGCAGTCATAACTTCAGAGCTCAGATGTATTCTTACATAAAGTGTGGGCACACCCACTTTGATCTGTTCAGCATTCCTTGAGACTGACACCTAATCGCACTGCAACTAATATTTTCATTGATGACACCAGGATCTAAATGACAAAATAAGAAGCCTCTACAATAAAAGAACAACTACTTCTCTCCATTAGTAAAAGGTCTGATTATTCTTTTTGGTTTTTGAGTCCTCAGTTATACCCATGAACCACATTAAGGACTATATTTCAAGAGAGAAGGATGGCCTTGAGAGTTAATACTTATTTCCTACTCCCTCCCTCCCTCCCTCCCTCCCTCCATCCATCTCTCTGAAAGAATATAAAATTAAAAAAAAAAAAAGAATCCACAGTAACACCAAATAGTACATAGTGTTAATAACTATCTATCTATATATATCTGAAAGAATATAAAATTAAAAAAATAATAAATCCACAGTAACATTAAAAAGTACACAGTGTTAAGCATCCTTAATCAAAAATTTAAACTGTGTATCTGGAATTATACTTTGAACAATATTCAAAAGATCATCCTCTAAATAATAAGCTACTTTTTCAATATTGCTTAATTTGGAAGATGGGGTAAGAATATGAGCGTAGGTTTAGAAGATTTTTTTTTAAGTACAAGAAATCCTCTCTGAATTAAACTCCCCACCCCTTATATACCCCAATGAAAACTATAAAATTCCTTTAAAAATATTTTTGATCAAATAAAAGACACTAAGGTTTGCTCCTAACGGGGAAAACTCTTTAAAGGAGAAATAGGAAAATAAGATCAAAACAGCCAGATGGGACCTAACTTTGCTATATTATCAACAGGAAAGCTTCCTTATTCTTAACTTTGGGCTTAAAATTAGATTTTCATCATAGTATTGGTAATTGATTTTACACCCCAATTTTGTTTTATACAAACTGTTTTAACATTCAAGCTCTCTTAGCAATGTTTTGTAGTTTTCAGTGTACAGTTTTTGCACATCTTGGGTCGGATTTTTCCCTAAGAATTACAAATTTTTTAAGCTACTGCAAATGGTATTTTTAAATTTCAATTTCATTATTAGTATAAAAAGTACAATTCATTTTTGTATATTTTGTATGGCAATTATGTATCCTACTATCTTGCTAAATCTCACTTATCAGTTCTGGTAGCTGTAAAAAAAAATTCCATAGGGTCTTCTACATAGATGATCATGATGTCTGCAAACAGTTTCCTTTTTTTTTAAATTGAAGTATTATTGATATACAATCTTATATTGGTTTCAAGTACACAACACAGTGGTTCAACAGTCACTCGTATTATTAAATCCTTATCCCCTCTAGTGCCATTACTGTCAACACAGAAAGATGTTACAGAATCACTGACTATATTCTCCATGCTGTACTACTATTCCCCTAACCAACTTATATTATGATTGAGAATTGTTGTGCCTCTTTATCCCCTCACCCTCCCCACCCACTCACCTCAACCCCTCTGCCATGGTAACCACTAGTCCATTCTCAGTATCTATGAGTGGACTATTGTTTTGTCCATTCTGTTTTGCTTTGGCACGCAGTTTTACTTCTTTCTTTCCAAACTGGATGCCTTTCATTTCTTCTGGCCTTACTTTACTAGTTTCTGGTCTGACTGTAGTTACTGTACTGTACTAAGAACCCCAAGAACAATATTAAATGGAAGTGGTGAGAGTGGACACCCTGCATTGTTCCTGATCTTGAGGGAAAATTTAAGTCTTTCATAACTAAGTATAATGTTAAAAGTAGTTTTTTTAGGTACCCTTTTGAGGAAATTCTTTTCTATTGCAAGTTTGATGAGAATTCTGATCAAGAATGAACTATTTTCTTCTGTTAATATATTGAATTATGTTGACTGATTTCCATTTTTGAGATAAATCTCATTAAGTCATGATGTATTATCCCTTTAATATATTGTTGGATTCATTTTGAATGTTTGTTAAGACTTTTTGCATCTATGTTCATAAGGGGTGTTGATAGTTTTATTTTCTTGTAACATCTTTGTCCGCTTTTGGTAACAGCAATGCTGCCATTACAATGAACTAGAAAGCATTGTTCTGCTCTCCAATTTTCTGGAAGAGTGTGTATAGAACTGGCATGATTTGTTTCTTAAGCTTTTGATAGAATTCAACAGTGAAATCACCTAAGCCTGTAGTTTTCCTCATGGTAAAGTTTATAATTACAAATTCAGTTTTTTCAGATATTGGCCTATTCAGCTTATACATGTTTCTTCTTGAGTATGCACTAGTATGTTTGCTAGTTTCAAGGAATTTGTGAATTGCTTCAAAAGTTGTTGAATTTATTGGCAGAACATGATTTATAGTATTTGCTTGTCATCCAAATATCTGCAGATTCTATAGTGATGTCACCTTTCTCATTCTTGATAACTTGTACAGAATCAGATTTCTATTTGGTATGACTGTTCTTCTGCCTGAAAGATTTAACATTTCTTGTAGCTCAGGCCTGTTTTTGGTTCTCTTTCAGTCTTCCATATCTAAGAAGGTCTTAATTTGCTTCTGCTGGGTACAGAATTCTAGGTTGCATATTTTCCCCCACCTGAGTACTTTGAAGCACTTGCTCTATTGTCTTCTCCCTGAAAAGTTTTCAGATGAAAAACCTATCACCCTTATCTATCTTTGCTCCACTGTACATAAATTATCTGTTTTCTCTGTTGCTTTTAACATTTTCTTTTTATCACTGACCTTAACCAATTTCATCATGTGCTTCAGTATTTACACTTGGGCTTCACTTAGTTTCTTTGAACCATGGTTTTATAGTTTTCTCCAAATTTAGTCAACTTTCAGCTGTTATTTCTTCATCTATTTTTAGTCATACCCTCCCCTTCAGTGACTCCAATTACATGTATATTAGTCCACTTGAACATAAACTATAGTTCACTATGATCTTTCACCAAATCTGACCTACTGCCTCTTTTAGAAATAAAGCTTTACTCCAATATACAGACATATCCACTGGTTTACACATTACCTATGACTGCTTTTGTGTTACAACAGTGTACTTATAACAGAGGCTGTATGAGCCTAGAAGACTAAAACTATTTACCATCTAACCCTTCAAAGAAAATGTTTTTTACAAACTTCTGATCATAGTATCTTGAACATACAGAAGACAAATATAATTTTTTAATGTCTTTACCTAATTCTCATTTGTATCATTTCTATATTAGTTTTAATTGACTAATTTTTTTCAATATGTATATTTTCCTGCTTCTTCATATGACTGGTATATTTTGATCAGACATGAAGACACAATGAATTCTACCTTTCTTCGTGCTGGATATTTTTCTAGTCCTGTAAACACTCTTGAGCTTTGTTCTGGTACCCAGCTAAGTTGTCTGGAACGAAGTTTGATCTTTTTATTCTTGCTCCTAAATTCTGTTGCTCCTAAATTCTGTTGAAACCAAAGCAGCATTTAATCTATACCTACTTTTGCACCACTACTGAAGCAAGATCCTTCTGAGTACTCTATAGTTAATGCACTAGGAATTACGAGACTTTTCCACTCTGGCTACTGGGAACAGGCATTATTTGTAGTGCTGAGTACTGAATTCTTCCCTCTAACTCTTCAGGTTGGTTTTGGTCCCCCAAACTTGAGTAGTGCTCATCAATATTCAGCTGAAGACTAGAGGGAGCCTTCTGCAGATGGACAGAATTCTGTGTAGCTCTTTCTTTTCCAGTCCTCTGCCCTGGAAAACTCTAGTCTCCCTAAATTCCCAGCTCTAACTCCTCAAAAGGGGCTTACTAGGGTTCATCTGGATTCCCCCTGCCTATACCATGCCCTGAAACTCCCCAGGTACTAAGCTGGGGCAATCGTAGGGCTCACCTCATTTGTCTCCTGTCTCTCAAGGATCACTGTCCTTTCTTGCCTGCAATCCAGTATCTGGAAAATCATTTTATATACTTTGTCCAGGTTTTTAGTTGTTTCAGGCAGGAGAGTAATTCCAGTCCCTGTTATTCCATGTTCGTCAGAAGTGGAAGTCTTAAAAGCTACTAAAATTTTCTGGGTAACTGCTTAAAGCATAAATTGAAAATCATGATAAAGTAGATGGGACCAAACTGTATTATTATTGTACATATTTAAGGAAAGGAAAGGAAAGGAAAATTTCCTTGTGATATTTATTATCATCATATTGATTGCTATTTTTACAGGGGTACCTATTCAAGTAATATACTCCTCAAAACATTTTTTATCCTTAGGAGTCACTCTAACCTATTGCTGCTGCTGGTGAAGTAAAAATGTTTATCTATTAAATTTTAAATTTCAAAATGCCTATACATATGAATTAAGCAATTCTATTTAGAATTTCTTCAAGATATATAAAAACAAGTAACTGAAAATATATTTACTTGGACCTGTGAGACAAGTAATATTTTCCCAACCTAGATCTGGAATATTTACATAATGCCTTTAAAAAAATTTTTTGTAATTACTGAAGCGATTTCAGATTTACATAAAAGTTGCAAAAATAGAACGAAGGATTCCAAACCCCTTTCCCCCAGACTTCCCAAGCATTAACATTTTACCACATTTATATATTATGTTTTTAAACCATTTAAAAGCACATTGTGAACATAAAGCCCCTTTACCCAAAATATATCAGTGTATATTTTCTAAAAATAAAGACATTCTTTTATACAATCACAATGTAATTATCAATGATACAATACTTTTATCTACAGATTTTATTCAAATATTGCCAGTTGTCCCACTAATGTCCTTTGGTGTGGGAGGACCACCTGGGCAAAGTGACAACATAATATTGAAAGACTACTGCTCTCAGGCCAAATCAGGACAGCCACCAGTTTCTCTAAACAAAGTTGAGCTAGAACACAGACACGTCACTCATTTACATACTGTCTATGGCTGATCATATGGGGATATAAGAACAAACTTGAGAAGTCACAACAGACTCACTGTGGCCCCAAAAGGCTAACAAGCTTATTACTTGGCCCATTACAGAAAATGTTTGCCTCTTTTGGCTTTGGAATGAAAGAAATTTTTTTCCTGGTCCAGGATTTAGATGAATTTAGTTGTCATGTCTTTTTAGTCTCCTTTAATCTGGCATTCCTAGTGTTTGTTTCTCATGATCTTAAAAATTCTAAAGAGTGAATGCAATTTTTTTAATAGAATGCCCCTCACTTATGTCTACCTAATGTTTTCTCATGCTTAGATTTAGTTTTTGCAAGAATACCACAATGGTAATATTGTGTCCTTTTCAGGATACACATGATGTTTATTTGTCCATTACTGGTATTGTTAATTTACAATCATCTAATTAAGGTGGTGTCTTCCAGGTTTCCTCACTGTGCATGTTACTATTTTTTGTTTATAATTAATACATATTCTGTGAGTATATGCTTAGAGATTATGTAAACATTTCATTTCTCATCAGACTTTAAACCAATCATTTAAGCATTCACTGATGATTTCTGCCTGAAACAATTATCACTGTAGTGGTTACCAAAGTGTGATTTCCAAATTCCATCATTCCTTCTACTTTTTTAACATATGATTCTTCTGTAAGGAAAAGCTATCTCCTCTCCTCAGTTTAGCCTTCTAAACTGTCATTTCATTTTATGGGTTTTAATCTATTACTATCATTATTTATTTTGATGATCAAAGCATCTGTGATTTGGGAAAAGTGAGCCTCTTAAAACTGGCTCTTTTTGTGTATCCTTCTGGCATGACCCCATCATTCTTTGAGTGCGACAACTTTTTAAATAATTGCAATAAGGTGCAAATAACCCAATGGCCATCAATGAGAAATACCAAATAAAGACAAGTGTGAAGACAATGGAAAACTATAGAGACATTAAAGAGAACAGGTAGAAGATATACAATGGAAAAGGGGTTAAAAGGTACAGAACAATGGTAGAGAATTATGCCAGATTTTAAAAAGAAAAACAGGCATATGTTTATAGATACAATTTTCTTGAAAGATAATAACAATGCAGGGTTAGCATTAACTCTTGGACTGTTAATTGTGGAACTGGGTAAAGCTATCTTTACACTGTATCCCTTGTTATATTAACTGTATAATACTCAAGATTAATCATTATAAGGTTATATTTCCCCTTTGAACAATATCCTCTTGTCCTGTTTTTTTCTCGGGGTGGGGGTTGGGGTGGGACGGCAGTTGAAATAAGTTCATGATTTAGATACCCATATTTGAATAACTTCTTATCAGCACTTGTTTCTAAAATGACAGGCTCTAACACTTCTATGAAATGTTTGGGTAGAAGGCTGTCTAACATAATGCTTACCTAGTGAGTCGTTTTGGTGGAGGTCGCTCACCAAATTTTCTGGAAAAAATAAGAAAAAAAAATTAAATAGGCTGCATGACACACCACAGTAAACTTTTTAGGCACCATGAAATCTCCTTAATGAGTTATATACTTCAACCCTACTGAAGACCAGTGTAAAGAGAAATCCTCTGGTAAACATCTATGTCCAGAAATAACAAAATACGAACTTTAACATGGTTCCTAAACAAACAACACACCTAAGTAAGCCTGCCTTACCACTCTAAGCAGATTAACACACTGATTTGATAAGTGGCAGGAACCTTCTTGAGACACCTTACAAAAAGCAACAGACCAAAGACCACTAATCTCACACAGCCTTTAGTATTTGGAAGAATCCTCTGTACAGAGGTGGTGCAGAGCTCACAAGTGTTTATCATGTGCCAGACACTATGCTATACATTTTTTATATAATACACTCCTTAATCATTATAAAATAATTTTGTAAGGTACATACTGGCCCATTTTAAAGATGCAGAAAACCATTTGCCCAAAGTCACAAATTAAGCGGCAGGCAGAGTTGAGATTTAAAACTTTATGTTGACTACTTAACTAACTTATAATATATGGCCCTTCAAAAAGAAATTTGGTTAAGTGGACTAGTACAGAATCATTTATAGAAATGTTTTGGAGAAGTCAAAAAGAAGAGCATGAGCAAGGACAAGAGAGTGTCAGGCTTGAATCAGAGTATAGCATGGAGCTTATGAGAAAGGCTCTAGAGTAAGACTGGCTGACTTTGAACCCAAGACTTGGTATTTACTGCTGTGCAACCCTCAAGTTACTTGATCTAGACCTCTGTTTCCTCATGTTTAAAAAAGGCACAGTAATTGTACTTACCTCAAAGAATTGCTGGGAAGGGATTAAATGTGTTAATTAATATACAGAAAACAGAACAGTGTCTGGGAATCAGTAAATGTTCAAGAAATGGTGGTAGTTATTACTATTTTTTATTTATAAATGGTTAAACCAAAATAACTAAATAAGGGAATTAAGTGTGATATTAATAAAGGTAAGTATAAGAAATTAAGCCCTCTGAAATAGGAAATGAGGTCTTCTGAAAGAAATGGTGTAGTCACACCATTTGAAGAAAAAAAGACCAATAGGATTTTCTTTTTAAAGAAAAACTGAAATTATAAACAGGTTAAGTGACTTACATTCATAATCACAGTTACAGGTTGTGGAGCCTAACTGACTTAAGATTTTTCTACTGTATTCATGATATCCCACAAAATTATTAACTTTGATGATAAAAGCCTTAGGATACAAGTAGTTGATTTTGCTGAGTAATTTAATACTATATGACATTGCTTCTGAATTCATAATTTATAAGCAAGGGGCATTCTGTCATTGAGTACCTTGGTATTTTTATTAACCCTGAGATATTGAAACATGGCTTTAACTGAAATAGCAAAAAAATGAGGAAATAATCCAAGTTTTTGTCAGAAGAATTATTAATTCTCTTTGACTTTACACCCTACAGGATATTCAATTTTGAAAATCAAGAAACAAAGCACAGTTTCTGAGTAATAACAACAGGAAGGCTGATGAAGACTGTATGTTTTAAAACACAACTATTGGCTAATCTGTGAATTCCACTTATGGAATAAAGACAGAATTCTACTCCTACATCTTTTTACACAGGAAATACTTTTTAAACCTTTGAAAATGATTAAATATACCATTATGGCAAATGATTTAAATACCAGCTGACTAGTTTAGATACAGAATATTTTACAAAAACCAAGTTTAAGCACTATAAAGAGAAGCAAAGTGAGGTGTGACTATAATCTACCTAAGGGATTAAAATGGTGAAAATTTTAAAGAGACAGTTAACAAACAGATAAAACTTCAATGAGGATCATTTCACACCCTTCATACTAGATCGTTAACACTCAAATCATCAAGCATCCTTTGAGATCTAACACAGGATCTAACACAGGTTTATTACATAACTAATAAGAGATCTGCTGCATTCAAAATCCAAATGTAAATTGTTCTTAGTGCTCTGAAATGCTCTCAAAGTTAGATTAACAGCTAACTGTTGATTAAAATATCTGTATACATTCCTTTTTAGAAATGACTCATTAGATGAAAACAGCAATTACATAGCATGCATTTGCAATATTACTCCTGCCCCCACAGAAAGTGTGAGCAAGATAACTCAATAGTTTGCCTGCTGAGCTTGAAGAGCATTTCAAAATGATGCATCATTCTATCTGGATGCCATCCTAAGGCTAGGAATCTTATAGATGTTAGGAAGATTAAATAGCCTGTTCAGTATTAATAAAGTATCCTTAATAATTGTGTGCCATCGCTTTAATGTGTAAGAAATCACATTTCTATTTATTTCATTACAACTAATGGTTACTGTATTTACTGGAATGAGGGATGAATAAGAAAATGAGTTTTCTGAGAAAATTTATGAAAGCACATTTAGTAGGTTTACAATGCATAATTCTGAAAGGTCACCATCAAACTAAATTCTAATTATTTAATAAAATGCATAGGTCTACATACTAAAAACATATACCAAGTTATTCCAAGGTACTTTATATCCTGCACTTAATAAGATCCATTTTCCACTAATCTGATATACAACTAATACCAAATTTTAAGAATTCTCTATTGCAAAAAGAAGGTCCATTTTAAAACATGAGTAAGTCAAGAAAATTCATGACATGTTTATATTATGCAACCAAAATAACCACTTTTTAGCAAAAATGACAAGTCACTATCAGTTACTCAGAGGCTGATTATAACTTAAGGATTAAGCTGTCCCTCCCTCTTGCAATAGGGAATCACAGAGAGATAGGCAGATAAAAATTTTTTATCTTTATTTGCAATTTATTTTAAAAACAAGGTACCTATTGACACGATCTGTAATGACATCTGAACCAGAAATAAGTTAGATCAAACAAGTTTAGACCACTCTTAAGATACTTTCCATAATAGGTGTATAGTGTACTGAACAACACAATAAAGTTAAATGCTAAGTACCCAAGGGACACTTTGAATTTTATGAAATACTGAGTTAATTCCTCATTGTAACAAAGAATTACTGCTATCCAATTCACCTTTTGGTATTATAAGTTGTTAGTATTTCATTTGCATGAGGTTTCTTAAATTTTATGCACACTATATAAAATGTAGTTTTGATTAAATGTAATAACCAGTCCTGTTATATATTTAAAGGGAAAAGTTATGATTCTAGCTTTTTTTTTTTTAAGTAACAAGCAAAAGTTAGCTTATACAAAGTTGATTACATTCTAACCCAGGGGTCCTTTCCGTCTTGTTCTATTCTGTATACTCTTCCCTCAGACTGGGATTGGCAAACAAAACACAATATTCTATGTGCCATCATTACAGTAATGCTCATATAATACACTATGGCTCAACAAAATTTACATTATCCAAAATACCTATGTCATAAGTATAATTTTAAGCCAGAAAATTCACTTTACTTTAATTTTACTAGTTTGCTCTTCCTAAGATAATAATGACCTTTTATTCAAAATAGGAAAAGTTGGGGAAAATGTCAATTACTATAGCTAACTCTATTTTCATATATCTGGAAGTGTGAGGGTTTGTAAAAGTTGCCACCAATCATTAAACATAATACTTCCTAGTGACAAACAGTATTGAGGTTCCCACATATCCTCCAATTCATTAGAATTTTTAAATAAGTAAAAACCTACATATACTTATATTTCCGCTTTTTTACTCACACTGGAGATTCAATATTGTTTTTTTCATAACAGATACATTTCCTTCTACATCAGTCTGTTAAGTATATGACCACCAATGTATTGAGGACAAATATGATAGAGGTTATCAAAACTTCACCATCTTAACACCTTTTCTAGCTAACAGATGCTACACATGAGAAAAAAAATCAAGAAAGAGGGGAAAAGACAAAAAGTTTTTTTGAACACAGAATGATTTAGTAATTACTCCGCTAAACAAACCAAAAAATTTGATGCTATATAGAACATTGTCTAGTAACAACATTGGAACTTCAATTTTAAAAACAGAGCTGGCTGAAAAAGGATCTCAAGTCATATGGGAAATTCTACCCTTGGTCTGTGGAACTGAAAGTAATGTCCTCTATTTTACTGTATCTCACACATTTACTGCTTAATGCAGAAATGAGATAAAAATAAATTAAGAAACACTGGTACAGTATTTGCAGGAAAGAAGTAGGAAAGAAAACATGAACAACCCAAACTCATAATTAAGCCACACTAACCAAATCTGCTGTGAACAGTATGTACATTTTATACAGTTCAAAACCACTGGGATTTCTGAACCATGATTTAAAGTAGTGAAATAAAGCAGCACTTGATTGAGGAAAAATTATGAAACATGATTTATACCCTCAAGGATCCATAACCAGTCATTTTACCAGGAGAAGGAAACAAATCAGTGATACACATTATTATTCTACTTGGATAACATGTAATAAATAAAAAACAAAGCAAATGGTACTAGGAAGTTGCTTAGCAATTTGCTCACAAAAAAACACAAGAGGCTAATTAGAAAAGGCTACACATAAAGTTCTGTCCCTTCCCTCCAGATCCATTCATTCACCTATTCAGGACCAAGTATGGGTATACATAAGTGAACTAAAAAGACACAACTCCATGCCCTTATGGAACTTACATACCATCAGTACAAGTGAACAATGACATATGTTCAAAGATGTTCATTTATAAAATTTGTAAAAGGAAAAATTTTAGAAACTTAAATACTGTACCTACTGAATATGATTGAAGAGATTAATATTTGACCAACTGAGAATATACCGTTAAGTAAATATGCAATTTATCTATACTTTCAAAAAGCTTATTCATTCTCTATCCATGGCAGAAAACAGCCTATTAAGTCACACAACTTTGAGCGAGATGGGTCATCCTTTGTCGTACTTTAATTTCTGGTTTTGAACCTGCTGTAATCTAAGAACCACATTTAATAGAAGCACTGCTCAAAACATGCCTAGGTGT